GACCCCCAAAGGGGTTGCGACCCACAGGTTGAGAACCGCTGGCTTAGAGGGTCCATTCTATTAGTGACAAGTCAAAAACATCAGTGAAACTAGATTTGTTGCTATGCAGAGTGTAGTCTCCATCATTTTTTAATAATATAAGTATAGTAAAAATAATGTTACCCAACTTTGTAAAAGTGGTTGCACTGCAGCAAGATATTAATACATAAGATTTTGATTGTATTTCATGATGAAACAATGATTGGGAGACAGTATAGCATAGAGGTAAGAGCAGAAAGTCTGGGCCAGCTTGCCAGAGTTCCAATCAAGGCAAGCCACTTTACCACTGTGCCTCAGTTTCTTTATCTGTAAAATGAAAATAATAGTAGTACCTGTCTCACAAAGTTATTGTGAACAGTAAGTTAGTTAAATACAAAGCATCGGAACAGTGCCTGGCAACATGGTAAGTGCTCTCGGCTCACCTCTAATTACTAAACAAGAAAAACTACCATTGGGCATTTTTAGTTTCCTCAATTGTTTAAATATTAGCTACCATTATTATTATATTATCATTATTATTATCATTATTATTATTATTGTGGTGGTGGTAGAAAAAAATACATCAAACATTCTTTAGTTTCTTTAATTTTGTAGAATAAATGAGACTGTCACTGGTAAGGCGTTATCAACAAATGTTAGCTATTATTAGTGATATTACTTATTCATATGCAAAAGTATAAAATAAAAATGAGTGAAAAACAAAAAATTTGAAGTAAGCATACTATTTCAAGGTTCTTATTTGTTAAAAAAAAAAAAACACATTTATACCCTGAAAACTAAAGAATCTAGCTTGATTATTTATTCTCTGGCTATAGCCCATTAACAACTAGAAATTAGTCAACTATGAAGAAATAAAGCAATTGGTAATCTAGTTAGACTTTACACCTCATAACTTGATGTATCTTTTCACCCAGTGACTGCTTATTTTCTATAGATATCGTTAATTCACTAATATTGGCAAGTTGATTCTTATGTCTTGTGTATTTTTAAAATACCAAATGGAAGATAGAGTTTATGAATCAAATTACTAGATCACATGTACTTTGTGGATATATTGAAATCTTTCCTTAGTGGGGACATCAATAAGAATATTCAAATTCTATTTTAATTTTGATAGTTTTAGGTATGCTCAGTAATGATGGGTAAAACAGGAACTACCATTTCTTGCCCTCATGACATAGTTTAACTTTGGTGGGCTCATTTTTATGTGGGATGTGCTTGCTCTTTGGCAAATGGGTCTGCACCTTGGTAGCTAGCAATCTCTTAGGCATGACTCAGTCCTGAGACTACTCACCAAACAGCTGTTTTTAGTATAGGTTACTAAAAAAAAGTGTCTTCCTTTTCATTGAAGCTTTCATTTAAATTTGTAAATGGTGGGCCTGCCCACCAGGCCCACTGGTGGTCCCGCTCCTGAGCTCTGGAATCCCTGGTTTCCAGACTCTCTTTGTTCCCCCAGCCTAGGGATGGTAGCAGCTTCCTGCTGTTGGCTCATCTCTGCATTGTTTTACCATCTCTTTTATGGGCTTCTCAGTTTTTCATTACTGTAACCAATTCCCTACATTAAATTCCCCCTGTTTTAAATACTTAAGCACAGTTTCTGTTTTTCTGGTTGGACTGACGGCTATACCTTATGATGCTCATCACAACAATGTATTTTTCAGACATAAAAATAATTCAGCAGGTCATTAGCACAATTTTTTAAAGGAGCATTGGAGTGTTTGCTAAAATAGACATGTAACAGTATCTTGATCTGCTGCATACTTGCCTTTGCCTGATGAATAGAGAAATGTGAAAAGTTAGGATTGGGTCATGACTAAGAAGTATCAAATGATAGAAAAGAGAAAATAATAGGCGAGGAAAGCCTGAAACATTTTTTACCCTTTGACTACTGTCTCAGTGAGAATTGTTATGATAGAAATCAAAGAAGCAGTTTATAAATATTGGGTCGTCAGGAAAGTCATGACATATTTTTCTATGTTTTTCAATGCAAAAATGCATCATGACTTTCCCAATGACCCCATAGTTTCCTGGATACAATTACATTGAAGGTCTAGACTGCAGCCTTGCTACTCACGGGCTATTCAAGCAGCATCAGTATCACATGGGAGCTTGTTAATCTACTGGATCGGATTCTGCATTTGAACAGGATTTCCAAAGGATTCTTATGAATGTTAAAGTTTGAGAAGCATTGGAGCAATGGCGTTTAAGTGTTGATTACCCAGCTAGAAATAGGTTTTATATTGTTGACCTCCACACACGCAAGCACGCGCATCCTGGCCTCAGCTCCCTTCCTCTCCTCCTGTGATCTTGCTTCCACGGTACCTCAGCAGTTTATAGCTGTTTATTCCCACTGTCACACCCAGGACCTTGTCGTTGCACATCTGCAGCCACTCCGGAATATCAGTTTCGTGTATCTGACTATTTGGCTATCCCTCCCATCCTTCCAATTCACATCCTCTTCTAGTTCCTGACACTAACAATTTATTTACTCCATCAGACTATAATCTTGTGATCCTAGCATCTTTTCATTCACCCCTCTGGAATTCTTACTTCCCTCCTCACTCAGTTTTAATTCTACCACTGTCATTGTCATTGCAGTCACTCCTGCACACACACACCCTGCCATTGGGCCTTCTCTTGCTGCATCAAATACTCTGGCTAACCCATAGGTTAAATTCAGTTATCTGCTCCATGCCCGCATGGACAAAAACACATGCTAACTAGTCTCAGTAATTTCATTTCTTGGACACTAACTTCTAACTGCCAGACGATTACACTTTATTTCGAGTCTACTCACGCTCTTTCCTATAATAACTATATTAGACCTTCTTGCTCTTTAAGCATGCAGCATCTTTTTGTCTTCACTCTCAGGTAATAACCTTGGTTTTTGTTTCACCCAGAAAATAAAGGCAAGTAGAACAGCATTTTCACAGGTTTCCACCACCACATAGACTCACCTGCCTGCATTGTGCCCATAAACTCAGCCTTCTCCCTGTGGATGAACTCTGAGTTGCTAGCCTCGACCTACTCAAGCACTGCTTCAGCAGTTCTTTCTTCTTCTAGCTATCATTCATTTTTCCCTTTTTGATGGTTATTTCTCATGACTATTTTCTTTTCTAGCTTTAAATCCTTTCCTCTCCTTTTTAGCAAAAGTCCTCAGAAAGAATTGTGCATATTTTCTACCTCTCATTTTTCTCCACTCATTCTTGAACCCACTCCAACGAGCATTTTCTCCTCCCATATACACATATTCAGCTGCTTACTCAACGTCTCCTCTCTTGGCTATCTAATAGGCATCTCAAACTTAACATGCCCAAATGCCTCCTGATTTTTTTCCTCCCAGATCTTCTTAAGTGTACATGTATCCCCATACCCATCCTCTTACCTAGATTTATTTTTCTCCTTAACTTTTTGCAAGTAAATATAAGTGAAATGTCTCCCACTAGTATAAAGTCCCTGCCAGCAGAATTACCTGTTTTGTTCATGCCTGTATCTCCAGCAACTGCTACAGATAAAGACTCTATATACTATCTATATATATAAATTAATATACTATCTGGGGGGAAAGCTTCATAAAGCAACCTTTAACATTACAGTGCTTAATGCATGCATTCCATTAATGCTGTTCAATTATGTTTACAAATAATTCGAGTTACAGCCCACTGATTCCCACTACATTTATTTCACTACCTGCTCAATGACAGTCGGACAAGTACTGGCCTAGAGGCTAGGCCATGTGTATGTTGGTTCCACCTCCCTACCTATCTCTCCCACTTCCTGAAATGCTAGGAGTGGAAATATACTTTTGGGAAAAGGTGGTAGAATTGAAGCATCATTTCTGTTAAGCTCCCCACAGACCCATCAGTTAAAATATGTACCTCATTTATTTGGGATTCAATTTTCTGATAACTTGAGTTGTCTAGAATAATACTGCCAAGAACTAGGAAGATAGCTTAAAACACCTCTTGTGAGCATCTAATTTAGATTTCACAAAGTACCTGAATTTAAAATGTAAATATATTTTCCTGACAGGGTGTGATTATTATGAAAATATATAAAAGTCTAGAGAAAGTTAAATTTCCTATATAAGTTGCCTTTGGTCCTCCAGCAACCACTGAAGAGTTTGGTTGTGTGTATCGCCTTCTAGAGGGTTTAGACATAGCCGTGCGCACACACACACACAAAGCTGTTGTAATGTGCACATCGTCCACCCATGTACTAAAGGACTTGTTTCTCCTCAGCCTTGCCTCTACTGCGGCTTATTAATGTGTTTAATATTGGTGAATTGGAGAGGGGAAAACGGTTAATTTACTTTTCAGTTCCTTATTTTTCAGGGAAGCTGTGCATTTTTTATGTTTAAGAACCACTCCTGCATCTTCTCTTTGAATTACCTGTTTGTGTCTTTGCCCATTCTACTACAGGTTTTCTTTAGTCAAATCCATTGGTGTTTTTCTTTATGACTTTCAAGCCTGGCTAAGGAAGGTTCCCCAGTGCCAAAATTATGTATTCTCTTAAATATTCTTCTGATACCATATCCTATTCCGTCTGGTATATGGTCATGTATCTGATTTTCTTTAAACCCTTTATAACTTGTGGCCCCACACCATTAATTAAATAAGCCATTTTTCTTTCATATTTGAACTGTCACCTTTGTCATATGCTAAGTCTCCATATGTAAGCAAGCCTGTTGGCAGACTCTCAAATCTATTCCATTCATGTTTTTTTGCTATTTCATGAGGGAGTATCACAATGTGGTATTTATAGTAACTTTATAGCATAGTTAATATGCGATTGACATTTTTTCCTTTTCTAAGTTTTCTTGATCATTCTTGTGCATTTGCTCTTCCAGATGAACTTTAGTTTCAGTTGTAAAATTTTTGGTGAGGCTTTTAAAATTTGTTAAGAATTTTATTAACTTTATATGTTAATTTGGAGATAATTTATGTTTTTATTGTATTGAGATACCTATTTATAAACACAATATATGTTTTCATCTATTCCAACTTTTTAAATGCCCTTCAGTAAAGTTTTATAATTTCTTTCATATTTTGTTTTGATATTTGTATATTTTGTTACCACTTTGAATAGTTTTTTCTTTCCTTGTCATTGTTGTTAAATTAATTCTTTTGCATGTCCTATGTAGATAGTTTGGTCTTACCTGGAAGTCATCATTTTTTCCTTAGCTGATATTTATACCTTTTAGTTTCGTTTTTGTAATTTATGACCAAAATCTCTAGAATAATTTACAGGTTAAGGGCATTATAATCTTTTTCTCAATGTAATTTAAATTTCTGTAGTGTTTTACCTTTAAGTATGGTATTTGCTGTTTATTTTTTATAGAAAATTAAGGAAATTGTGTGTGTGTGTGTGTGTGTGTGTGTGTGTGTGTGTGTGTGTAGTTTTCCCTTGTTTCTATAATTAGGAAAATCATCTTCCCACAAGTCTCAGTTTTGAACCTGAGTGTCTAGGTTCCAGGAACATGGTCCATTTGTTGTCAGGCTGGTCTCAGAAAGGCTCAGCCTGACCGCTTGCTTGATTCCCAGCTCTGCTCTCTGCTTTGGCAGCCCCACCTGTGGGGAGGAGCCACATTCTGCCTCTGCACCTCCACAGTCACCTGGCTATGACAGGTGGCCCTTTCTCCTAGGGGCTGTCATCATAGTTATGTGAGTGGTGGTTTAGAAATTTTGGTGTACAATATGGAATAATAATTAGAATACCTAATATACTAAATACTGTGTGCCGGGCACTGTTCCATATTTGATGTAAGAAACCCTTTTAATCTTGAAAAAAAAATCTTATGAGATGGGTGTTATTAAACCACTTTACAGATAAGGAAACTAAGACACAGAAACAATTTTAATCACTTGCCAAGGGTAACATAATTAGTATCAATTATTGAATATTCAATAAATGGCTACTATGCAAGGATGCAAGTACTTACTATGCAAGGATGATAATGATCTAGAGACAATTAGAAAATGTGTATTTGCATTTTGAGTATTTTGTTCTAGAAAGTTGGAAGTGAATAACATATCTGAAAAAATAAGCATCACTCTCTGACAATGTCAGGTAAATGAGGCCTTGCCTTTGGCTCTGCAGACAGTTTCTCTGGCAGCCAAATTGTCTACTAATTGAAATTTTATCTGGGAAGACAGCCTCAAGGGCATAAGAAATGATGATTTATGCTATTAAACAAAAAGGTAAGGAAGCTTTTCTAAATGGGATTCTCAAGAATATATATGTGTATTTAAGGGAAAAGATTAAAAATTTTTAACAGCCCAGAAGAGAAATAAGGTTTTTGGTTTTTTATTTGTTTCTGAAACTTCCAGGATACTTTAGGTTTCAGTATTTTCTTTTGCCATATAACCTACTCATAGAAAGGTAAAACCTTCACTGAACCCAGTTAAGAATGAGAAGGTATATGGGAAAGAGTTATGTTTTTGAAGCTGAAATTGAATTCTGTTTTTGTTTCATTTGATAAGATTTTTTTTTTTCAATAAACAACAGTGTTTGTCAATTTTCCCTTTTGAGATGTGATTTTTCTTCCTACCACCCTTCTGTATCTCATTCCTGGACAACACGTAGGCTTTTAACTAGTTTCTTTGCCTCTTGTTATTTTTTTATTCTCTATCCTAACCCTATTGATAAATGAAGTTAAAACATCAGTTTTATTATGACATTTCCCTGCTTTAGAAACAATTCTGATTTTTATATAACATTTCTTTAAAATAGGATATGTTTTTAGGGGCAAAATTTGTTTAAAGACTTTAAGCTTCAGCAACCTCTATCTACTTACTTTGAATAAAGAAATAAATATACCCAAACCCAATTATGGCTAAGTTAAGCAAGAGCGAATATATTAGACTACCTGGACTTTTAAAAAGAACCCACAGAAGGGTGGGGGGAGGGTGGGGACTTGAACTTGGGAATGGACAGGAACGAGGCACCTTAGAGCCCAGAAAGCAAGAACCGTAACAGCGGTCCTCCGGCAGAGGACACCTACCTGCTGGGTGAGACTTACCTTTCACCTGCTGGGACGGAATGGTCGCCCATGCCTTTTAGTATCTTTTATACCTCTGTTTCAAGATGTCGGTTTCAGAGAAGGAGCATCTGCTTGCTCTTGCTTGCCTGGCCTTGGTATTAGTCAAGGGTCTGTTTCTAATTTGTAGTTGTTTTTGTCAAATTTGACATTGTGCATTGGATTGAAGAAATTTTGAATCCCAAGACGCGATGCAGATGTTTTTGGATTGTGGTTAAAAGCCCATTCTTGACAATGGAAGGAGAAACAGGATTTCTCTCTTTAGTTTGTGGCTAGAAACAGTAGATTCGTGAAAGGCTTCCACTTTGTCTCACATATCTTGCTGATATGTAGTATTTTGTACTTCAGTACATTTCTTTTAAATACTGAATATTTCAAAGAACATTTGTACCATACTTAGCCACTGGTTTCTTTCTTCAACTACTCTCATTTTCATGTCATTAATGGTAAGCTGGTTGATGGCTATTTTCTGTGCCACAGGGAGGGACAACACACAATATATATGAATACACACACACTCATATATTTGTAAATGAATGTATTGTTTGTAGATAGGTAGATATGTAAACACTACAATGGTTTTATATGGCATAACTTTACAATTTTGCATTTTTCGTTCTACGTCATGACTCTTGGGTCTTTTTTCTCGATATTTCTGAGTCTGAGAAACATACCATTAGTTTCTTGGTATTGACTGTGCCTCTAGGATGGAATAAGTATTGAAATGTAGAGTACAAACTCTGTTAAGTTACATATCATGGGAAGATAAATTACCTTTCCATTGCGCCCTACTAATCACAGTTGAGGGAATTACAGGAAAGACTGAAATGGAGTTCTGACACTAGGCGGTATGTCCTTCCATGGGCAAGTAGAGGCTGTTTTTCTGCCAGGAAGGTACCTGCTTTCTGGGGACCATATGTGTCTCCCCTTCACCCTGACTCTGATCTAACTACTGATAGAACATACTTCAATCAGTAATGACAAGTGATAGACTTCTTTCAGTCTTCTTCACAGCTACTTGCTATTCTGGAATCATCCCTTCTTTTTTTCCTCCTCCTATTTTGATGATTGAATGCGTATTTTCAGAAGAGATGAGAAATTCAAGGGGAAAAGCCAGTGTAGTGAACTTACAAGTGTAAAAGCTTATATTCTCTTTAACCTGCAGTTTATCTAAAGTCATAATTATAAGTTGAAAGATATATGTAGGAAAGTTTATTTCTGCATGTGTTGGGTGTTGGTGAACATATCTTAGTGAAAATTTGGGAACAACCTAAATTTGTAGCAATAGATACACACACTTACATGTAAATGGATAGATACATACACACACACATACATACGTACAGGAGGGGAATATTATGCAGCTATTGAAAATACTAATGATACAGTTTTCTATATTTATTGACTGGCAAAGATATTTATCATATGAAATAGTGTTTATGACATTAACATTTTGCAGAATAGCATTTATAGGTTCTGATTTTGTAAAATTATTGGGTTGTCAGAAATGTCATGGCGTATTTTTCTATGTTTTCGTTGCAAAAATGTGTCATGACTTTTCCGACAACCCAATATATACTTTTTTCTGTATGTGTATTCATTCATGGGGCAATGTCTGGAAGTATGTTTAAACAGTGGTTATCTCTAGTGGGACAGATTTGGATATTTTTTTCCCTCAGTTAATAGCCCATACTGGGAACGAAGACTATTCCTATGATGTTGAAATTCATCTCTCTTTTTTAGTGATTTTTGTATGACATTAATCGTTTTTAAGAAATTTTAATGTTTGTTACTAATAATTATGGTTCTTAAATCACAGTTCTAGTTGTTTTTGTATTACTGAGCCTGTAAAACATGAAGACCACAGTTGGTTTCTTGACTATACTGGACTACAATATCTTAGTGTTTTGATCCTGTCTTAGCTTATGTCTCGTTAGCACCTCTGCCTTAGCTTATACGTTTTCTAAGGGCAGGAGCTGTATTTGTTAAAGTTCATCTGTATGTCACCTGGCATAGCGTGTCCTGGAAATAGATGTCCTTTTTTTTAAATCCTTAAATGTGAAATATATTCCCACTAGTTTGTGTAACAATCATTTTCTAATCTATTCAGGTGTAGAGTTCGGTGCTCGAATGATAACTATTGATGGGAAACAAATAAAACTTCAGATATGGGATACGGTAAGTAGAGCAAAAGTACATTCATGACTTCAATCAAGTTGTTTTATGAAAGTGCATTGTATATTGGTTTTGTTTGAATGTGATTTTATGCCTGTTAAGGTTGGTTAAACACTACCCCCCTGCAGCCATGAGATGAAGTGTGGTGCCAGAAAAAATTAGTTTTTCTCATGCAGTGTTTTCAGCAGATGTACCACAGGTGTTAGGTGTTGGTGAACATACCTGAGTAAATGCTCCGGCTGGGGTCTCAACAGCAGCACTCTAGAAACTGTTTTTAAGAAAAACAAGCAGTTTTTAAAGTACACAATACGAATTTCAGTGCCACAGAGTCACTTGATCTGACAGTTTGTTAATTTATTTTAAGTTTGACTAGTCCCACCTGAAGCTACCTTGCTCCCATTCCTAGCTCTCTCATTTATGTTATTGAGTGCCTATATAATTTTTAATGGCAGTTTCTCATCTAAACCACAGAACATGATTTGAGTAACTATTTTCTATTCTCCCATTTGTAGATGTATAAAAGAGAAGTTACTTTATTATATACAGTGGGTGTCTTAAGGTAGCCGTTCTCAAACTTTTTCATCTCAGAATCCCTTTATACTGTTAAAAATTAGTGAGAGGGCTGGCCGAGTGGTTCAGTTAGTTAAGAGCTCGCTCAAGAGTACAAGCTCTGGGCCGGCCAAGTGGCGCGTTGGTTAAGAGCTGGCTTGGCACGCCAGAGGGCCCCGGTTCGGATCCCACATATGAAGGCCAGTGACACTGCCCTCTACAGCTAAGATGCTGAACAACATCTCAACCTGGAGTTGGGCTGCCATGGAGTTGGGCATCGGCTAGGATGCAGCCACTGCTGCAGTGGGTTGCCATGGGCTACCGTGTGTATCCAGCAGCCAGCGTGAGCGGCCAGCAGCCGCAGTGAGCGGCCGTCCAGAAGCCGGCGACTGATCTGCCTCGCCCGGGAAGAATGCAATGATGATGCCAACTTGGGCCAGTGAAGCAACGTCCTCCACAACTAGTCTGAAGAACAAAACGACAGCAACTTGTCTGTTCCCCTTACCCCAATTCCCCAGCGCTGTTCCCATCCCCTAACTCCCCAATAAAAATCTTTAAAAAAAAAAAAGAGTACAAGCTTTGAGCAACAGCAGTTCAAGTCCTGCCCAAGCTGAGCTGCTAACAGGTGGCAGGATGGCTCAGCTAAAAAAAAAAAAAAATTAGGACCACCAAAGAGCCTTTACTTTTATAGCTTATAGCTGTCAGTATTTATCATATTAGAAACTAAAACTGAGAAACTTATAATTCCTTTAGAAATAACCATAATAAACTCATTATATGTTGGGCTAAACAGTGCAATTTTTATGGAAATTAACTGTTTTTCCAAAGCAGCGACAACAACAAAAAAATTCTATATTTTTCTAGTGAGAAGAGTATCATTTTATTACATTTTGGAAAATCTCTTTACTGTCTCCTTACTAGAAGACAGTTGGATTCTCATACTTGCTTCTGCACTGAGGATTATGTGTGTTGTTTATTTGAAGTATATGGAGAAAATACGACCACACACAAATAGGTAATTCGGAAACACAGGACCTTATGGGCCCTTAAAAGTCTCAAGAACGTCCAGGAGTCCTGGTTCACACTTTGAGAACCTCTACCTTGGGTCATTTAGGACTTAATTCTTCACAGAACCCCAGTTGAGAAAAACCAGGTCTCCTATTATGACAAAGAGCATCTTCTCTAAACTAGTAAATAAACTGTAAACTAGGAGGAATTTTGTCAGCATACACTCCTGCTCTTTTTTTCTGTAGTCACTCAGTCTTACTTTCTCACCTGTCACCTCTAACAGCTAATGATGGAAGGAACCTTGGAGACTCTTCAGTCCCACAGACTGGATTCCCAAAAAGACTAAGCAAGTTGCTGAAGGCCCTTGTGAGACCTAGGTTTCCTGATACTTCCTGTGTATCACGTAATCGTCCCTGAAAGGGAATACCCTAGATCTCTAGCTTGCTCTGTCCCAGAGTTAAGCATTGGACTCTTAGGTTCTTAAACTTTCTTATCTCCTCTTGAAGATTTATGCTTTTACTGCTTTTTTAGGGTTTTCCCCCCCCTTAGCCTGTAGCACTTCATAATTTTTTTGATTTCTATTCTCTCAGGCAACATGATTTCAAAACTGCACAGAGAAGGGAAAAATAAAATATGCAAAGTCCCTTCTTTCCTAGAGATTTAAAATTAATGATCTCCAACCAAAAAGAAGGATTTTCTACTTCCGTATTAAAAGAGTTTTTCCTCTTTTGAAAACTGATTGTCTTATATAAACTAGGTTGCTTTCTTAGCTGATACACTTGTGTGACATACATCTTTAGTATCGTGTAGTACAAACCAAACTACTTGCTGTTCTTTAATAAACTTTTTTTATTCCTTGTACTTTGCATCAATAGTTGCTTTGCTTAAAGTACTTTGTTCCCACTTTCCACTTAAGACCAGCTCAGATGTCAGTTCTCGTGGAACCTTTGGGATACCTGATGGGATATCGTTTGTGATGCCTTTGGGATATCCCCCGTGGGATAGCTGATTCTCCCCATAATATTTTATTCCTGCTAGAGCTTGGATCCTGTTATTATAGTTTTTTGTTCACATATCTAACCTCAGAATAAGCGGCAGGAGGGAAAGGACCATCTATATCTTATTCAACTTTGTATCTTGTATTCTTAGTTTACTGACTGATACAATGTTTAGTAAATTTTATTGACTGAATGAGTAGGCTCATCAGATGTGTTCAAGGGATAACATCTACTAAAATACATGGTTTCAAGAGGAAAGATTACTGTAGTAATGAAAACTGTTATTTTTAGGCACAAAGCACCTCATTATAGTTTATTCTAGTTTATTCAATTATTCTTCTATCTTTAAGGTGTTTCCTTAATAATCTACGCCCCCTTTTGAAACTTGAACAAGTCATTCATTCCCCAGTTGTTTCTTTTGTAGGTGAACTAGCCGTGCTTTCATTTGATAGAATACTTTTTTTTCTTAGCTTATGAGTAGATTGTTTTATACTGCAGTGAACTTTGAAAGAAATCTATAATAATTACTTATGCTGGACAGTATGAAAGGGGAAAAGAAAAAAACCTTGTTTACACTTCCTCTAAAATGGCGGGGCTAGTTTTCTTTCCTCTGTATCTAAAAGGGAGAGACTGTGGTGCCGCTGAAGACACTATGACTCCCAAAAAAGAATTCCAGGTCTTCCCCCTGGAGGGTGCGAGGACCCAATGGCCTGTTGCAGAGTGTAAGGAATGTTCAAATAAGTTTGTTAACAGTACTTTTGAAAGTGGTTTCTTGAGTCCCTGCCTCATAGGTTTTCCTATTATTGTCATTGGTTTTCTTCTTACTTGCATACGTAATTTCCAGAACTCTTTAATATACATTATCTCACACACATGGAGGTTGGCTCCTCACTTAAATTACATCTGAGTGAAGCGCAGTTTCCCATATCGTTCATGTTTTGCAGTGTGTACATTAGATAGCAAGCTCCATTTTTAGCAAGGGTTGTGTCTGTTTCTGGCCCAGGACGTTTACAAAACCATTCTAGAGTCCTCAGGGAAAAATTTGCCAAATGTTATGGTTTGTTTCATTGGCTTTAAAGAAATTAATTTTTTTCCCGATGACTCTCTCAGGATGTTAGTATAGTTGTCATTCATTATACATCCATTTCCATTTGCAAAAATAAGAATGTATTTCTTGCAAAATATTCACATCCACCATGTTTGCTTTCTTTTGAAAATAGTAAGTTTAGCTGCTGGCAGATACTCTTGCCGGAAGCAATGATAAGTCTATCAGTGCCTTCCTTAAAGCACTTTCCCTTGGCCCTTTGTCACCTTTTTTCCTTTATCAGAAGTCAAGTGTGTGATAGTCTTCATCTGTCACAGTTAAGTCAAAGAAAATCATAGGTTGCAGCCAGTTCCTGTTAATTGACTGACGGAAGAAGGGTGGAGGAAGGAAGTCCATTCTCACTCTTCGACTCTTTTATCTACGCTTTACCCACCACCTTTTTCTGTTGTTACTCACCTTTTGCTTTTTGTCATTTTTTCAATTGCCTTCCCAGCATATCCAAATAAATCTTATTCTTCCCCAAAATTTGTAGTATGGGTGTTTTAAGTACATATATCTTCTCACCTTTCCTGAAATATTTTTATTTTAGATTTACAGCTGTTTTCCCCATCAAGTAAAAGTTAGTGCAATTATGTAAAAAGTCATGTGAAACAAATGCTAAAAGTACCTTTTCAGCAAGTCACAGGCATTTTTTGGTCCTTTGTAAAATGTCAGTTTATACCCAACTCCTTAATCCTTCCCCTCCCCCCAGACAGTGAATATTTTTATATAGCAATGGAGCAGTAAGGATGGATGGCCAGAATTCATTGAGCTATAGGGAAGGGCCTGGAACCAAGCCCTGGGAAACAATCCTACCTCTGCTCCCACCCCCACAACCCCAGGAGGCAGGGGCATTTGGAGACCCAGCTGATTTGCCTCCTTAGACTGCTGTTCCATCAGTCTTTTCTTGAACAACCACAGGGACAGGAAACGATCTTAGACATTTTATTCTACTCTAATGTTTACCTCCCACCAGTGGGCTCTAGTCTGTCTTATATGGCAGCATTCAAAGAATCCGAGGTCAGCGGTCACCTCCTCTAAGTCTTTTTCTCAAAGTAAATATCCTTAAGCTTTTTAAAGCATTCAACATCTGCTATTCTTTCGAGATATTTACCACGTTTGTTTCTCTTCTCAGGATCTACTTTAGTTTCTATGGGAGACTCCCTCAGAAAGGCCTAGAATTATAGTTCAGGTTGACTTTTTCTCCATCCTCGCTGTGGACACTGAGGCAGCCTAAAAATCACTTTGATTCTTACTAATCTCATGATAGTCCAAAACAGAAGTCTTGTTCATGCATATAGATTCCAGTGCATGAAATTTTCAGTTTCCTTGATGATAACAGTTCCCTGATCACTGGTCTAGATTTTTCAATTGAGTCTTTTTAGTAAAGTACCTGGGATGTCATGCTAGGGCACTAGACAACTTACATGACTACTTAGAAATCCTTTTCTTCTTCGTTTTGGTCCTTGGCTAGGTTTTGATACCTGGAATTGTTAGATAAATGACCAACAATGAAAGGAAGAGGTATTGCTGTAATATAAATTCTCACAGATCTAAATTGTCTAACTATTGGCTCTTTGGGATCAGTCAAGATAACATTTTAATGTGCCTGCTATAAATATACTTAAGTATTCTGAGTAGGCTATCCCTCAAGGGGAACTAAAAAGGATAAAAGATAAACATTTGAACAGTGTGTTCATTTTATCTAGTCAATAGTATTAGAACCAAATAATCACATGAAAGTGCTTTTGGGATTGTGAGGCGAGACGGGTAACTAAGGGCTGTGGCAGACAAGCTTGCTAGCTTTGTGAGAGAATTAGGGGGCTTAAACGGGATAGATGAAGGAAAAAGAAAATAGTTTTTCAGGAAGAGTTAAGCAGAGGTATAAAAGCAGGAATATTCAGAATACAGGCAGGATATTATTAGTAGACAAAAAACTCGTTTTAAAAGTAAGACTTTTATTGACTAAGAAGATAAAATTCTGAAGAAATAGGATCAAATTCCTAAGAGCTTAGGACTTAAATTCAAGGTACTTAGAGAGTTTGAGCAGTAGCTTAATCTGTGTAAAGTTATATGTTATGGAGGTAACAGGAGAGGAAGAAGAGGTACGTTGCCAGCCTGGTTACTGCAAAAAATTAATCAACAGAACGACTCAGGCACCTGGAGAAGCCAGTTTCGGGGACTCTTCCTCTCACAGTTTGGAGTAAATTTTAAAGGAATGGGGCAAAGAATCAAGATTATTTGATTTAGCAGTTCTAACATGGAAAATGAAGATCTATAAGGCCTCTTTTTCACAAATATTCTGTGACTCTGATTTTAATACTAAGCATCACTAAAAATGAGCTTGCCCATGATTTCTCAAGGCCAACTTGCTCTATTCTGCCTTTTTGAATATCTGGGCATGTTGCTGATTTTTTTTCCCCAGAAATCAACAGCTATATTGTGAGCTGATGATCTCATGGTTCACTCCGGCCACCTTAGCCAGGTCCAGTGCTATTCACTTAACCATCATCCTCATTTTATTAAATGAATTGTTCTTTATACCCTCAGCTACTATTAGGAATCCCTTACTACAAAGAATTCTATATCCTGGGCCGGCCGAGTGGCGCGATGGTTAAGAACTGGCTTAGGACGCCAGAGGGCCCCGGTTCGGATCCCACATATGAGGGCCAGTGACACTGCCCTCTACAGCTAAGATGCTGAACAACAGCTCAACCTGGAGCTGGGTTGCCATGAGTCGCCGGCGATGGCATAGGCTGCAGTCCCTGTGGCAGTGAGTTGCCATGGGCTACCGTGTGTAGCCAGCAGCCAGCGTGAGCGGCCAGCAGCCGCCGTGAGCGGTTGTCCAGAAGCCAGAGACTGATCTGCCTCGCCCGGGAAGAGCGCAATGATGGTGCCAACTTAGGCCAGTGAAGCAACGTCCTCCACAACTAGACTGAAGAACAAAACGACAGCAACTTGTCTGTTCCCCTTCCCCCAATTCCCCAGCACTGTTCCCTTCCCCCCAATACCCCAATAAAAATCTAAAAAAAAAAAAAGAATTCTATATCCTGTTCCGTTTCAAGCTTCTAAAATCTCTTTAAGCCAACACTTTATAGTAAAGAGGATCAAAAGTAACATCTCTATTTCCTAAGATGACATTCTTTTTCATTTAAAACAATGTAGGTCAATCACGGTTTGGACAAGTTTATATTAAAGTGCTTTTTAAAAACTAGCTTACTTTGTTTTAATATGACCAAGATAATTAAACATTTGGGGTAACTTTATTCTGTTAGCTGTTGTTTGTATATAGCTAGAAAAGTCATAATAAAACACTTATTTGAGCAAGATTTATTTCAGGACTACCAGTGCTGTTAACAGATAGTAGGCCAGAATGTGGGATGTCTTTCTGACAAGTCAGGTCTCAAGATTTTGGAAGTTATTCTAAGTACTGATCTTTACTTATTATGTAATTAGAGATTTTAAGATGCATAGCTATAGTCATAGTTCCCACTTGGAACATGTGGTTTTTTCGTTGAATTTTTGTTTGATTTTATAATGGAGGGCAAAATCCACATTCAGTGGGTTCAGTACAAAGCGATGCATTGTATATGTTATTTCTACATTGCACCATGTTTATTCTTGGTAAAACTGTTCAGGAGGAATGGGAATGGTATATAGATGTGTGCTTTTCAGCTTTTCCTAAATTTATTTTCCCTTTTACTATTTTTACCTGGGCTATAAACACTGAAGTTTTAGATCTATAGTTGTGTTCCTCTAGCACTGTATTCATTTTAACTCGTCCCACAGAATGTCCCGGCAAGATTGTTTTAAAAGACTTGTACCTTTGCTCAATGTTTAGGCAAGGGAGATAGATACAAGAACTTTAAACCTGATTTTTATTTTAAGCTAATGAAATATTTATCTTTTTTGTGTTACTTATCACAGACTCCTTCCTTGGTATATATAATTCACAGTGAAATGAATCTCGTAAAAATCTTGTCCTTAGTTTTCCTGCACTAAGCAATTAAAGAAGAAACTCCCCTAATGCTTGCATTTTGAAATTGGATTTGAAAGGACTTTTTTTGAAAGACGCATCCCAATAAATTATATAAAAATAATTTTAATCAATTTCCTGATTCCACCTAGTATCATCTAGTGCTGCAGGGGTCGGCAAACTTTTGAGATTGAAGAGCCAATCCTGCCCCTCACAACAATTTAAAAATTATTCGAGAGCCATAAAACAAATGAAATCACCATTATGTGAATAATATCCTTTAAAAACTTTATAAATGAAACTATGATAGTTTTATTTTCATTTTCAATTTTACTTCAGAGCCACATGTACGTACCCAAAGAGCTGCATGTGGCTCACGAGCCGGCTCACGAGCCGGTTTGCCGATATCTGATCTAGTGTTTTAGCCTCAATCTGTGTGAAATGAGTTGACTATTTTTACAGCCCTTTTATGTGATGGCTTTCTCAGTATCTAATTTAGCATAAGACATTATTCTAAGTGCCAGAATTGCTCGTGAGTTACCAAGAGAGGGTCTAATCTTTAGTTTCCGCGTAGAAGTTATTTTTACTGAATCTTAGCATGTTAGGATGTACTGATGTTTACTCATTTGGGTGAGATCTAGTAGTAATCATTTTGTGCTTTTGACTAAGACATTAGGATTCATTCTTTCACTCCACAGGCTTCCTCTGAATGCCTGCTGTGTGCCAGGCACAGTGCTAGGCACTGGGGGATGGGGAGCCTGAGAGGGAGGAAGTGGGGTGGGAGGGCCAACAAGAACAGGAATTATAGTGTTGAGCATTAGAACAGAGCAGAACCTGAGCTCTGTGTGTGTTCTGAGGGTTACTATTTACACTGGAAGATGCAAATTCAGAACAAGCAAACCTGAATATGTTTCAAAAAGTTAGTATATTTTGAACACAAAAATTGTGGAAACTGGCTTTGTGTTTACTTAATTTACATGCTTATTTTCCACTCAAAGGTGGAAAAGAAGTGATTAAAAATGAAGAAACTGTTTTTGATAAGAACTGTCTCAATTTTACGAGTAAACTCAAAGGCAGTCATGGGCATGTCTGTCCTTCAGCAGCCTTTCTGAAAACACAGAACATCAGTGCCACCAGTAAAAGAGAAATTAACTAATTTTGTATAATCTCTGAAGTCTGTTTTCACAAGTGAATATAAAGATGACTTTTACATCCTGTTGCCTTTTGACAGCATTATATATCAAATACAGAGAAAATTGATTAAGTGTGGAGAAAAATTATATAAATTAAATTCAGAGCCATTTTCTGTTTTTCATAATAAAATGATTGCTCAGAGAATTCCATCTGATGACTGTTGAAAGCTCACTGCAGTTTATGATATAACTGATAAAATCTGCATCCTTGGCCTTCCAACAACCTTTACACCAGCAGATGGTGGGCGTAAAGATGTCATTCATCATTTATTTACAATGGACTTTATTTATTCTAGTGTCAACAGCTGCCCCAGGGAGTGGGTTATTGAATTCAAATGTGAGGCTCTGGGTTATTTGCTTCCTTTCAAATTTGTCTTCAGAGCTTAGTTGCTAGGAGTCCATTCTGTGCTCTAATAATGATTCATGTATTGTGAAGCCATTCAGTAAATTGGGTTGTCAGGGATTGCCAAAAAAGGTTTAGAGGTCTGGTGGGGTGGGGTGGGGTGGGGGGGGTGGGTTCCGTGCACATGTGGTTGACTTGAGCACTAGTGCTATTATGTGACTTTTTCCTAGATGGGTAGAGGTAGGTTTTCTTATTTTCCTCTATGCACTCCTTCCCTACCTGCCCATATTCTGCATGTGAATAATAAGAAAATGTAGAGAACATTTTATTAAAAGAAACTCTCAACCTTTTCTTTCCTCGCAGGCAGGGCAAGAGTCCTTTCGTTCCATCACAAGGTCATATTACAGAGGTGCAGCAGGGGCTTTACTAGTGTATGATATTACAAGGTGAGAACTCGGAAATGTTTCAATGCCGTGGTCAATACAGAGAATTTTCCTAAATAAATATGGTACCAGTAATGAAAGCATAGCTTTGCCTTTGCCTGGCTGTTTGCCTTTCAAACTTGTGTATCTTGAATTAAATATAAATTTCTATAGAAATTTGCAACTAAATTACTTTAAGTACCCCCAACTTGATAAATTTGGTAATGTTATTTATACATTGGAATTTTATAAAGTGGTGTTACATTTAATTTCTAAACTGAACTGTAATCAGTGGACTCTAAATCCAGTTACTGTACTTGAACTCTGTTTTCATTACATAAGTGGATATGGCTAAAAATAGTTCTTTAATGGACTACATATATACTGTTCATTGTACCCTGCTAGGGGAAATCCTTTGACAATAGTAATCAAATTATCGTTTATGTTTAGGAGAGATACATTCAACCACTTGACAACCTGGTTAGAAGATGCCCGTCAGCATTCCAATTCCAACATGGTCATTATGCTTATTGGAAATAAAAGGTAAAAAGACTAATTTAAAGCTTTTTTTGTATTAATGATGAAGACCGCAAATAGCTGTTTATGTGATAACTGTTAAAGCGTTTATCTTGTACATTTGTCCAAATGAAAGTTATTGATTTCTTAAATTATAGAATTGTGAAAATCCTAAGATGTTTCTTTTAGTTTTAAAAATACAGATAATAAGCTTTGTTGGAAATTATTATTTCAAATAGTTTTGGGGTTTTTTGGAAGGTATACTTTAAAGAATAATCTGAAAGAATTTTATCTGATTAGTAATTTGAAATAAAATCCACTCACTGATTTATTTGGGGGATAAATCACTGTTAAATATTATCCAAGTTGTTTTAAATACTGGACAGTAGAAATCAGTATCTGTGCAAAACTCAAAAAAATATTGTTTCCCTTTTTCATGACTTAATGTACATTCTGTGAGTTAATACAAGACATAGATTAATCCCAAGTATTTCTACTTAAAATCCTGAAAAACTTTGAATATTGTTCAGTACATATCACATTAGTACTTTTAAATCTACCTCTAAGACTTTGTATAGTGTTATCCTAATGTTGTTTTTCAATTTTATTTTACTTTATATTGCTAGGGAGCATTGTCTGCAGTATTGTCCTCGTGTTCTGTGTTTAAAATGATAGTACATGGGAAAACAGTTTCTTGCTCATAGTTTCTATAAACTAGCAAAAGTGTGGGAAAGTTTCCACTGATTTTAATAGAAAATTACAGTGATAACAAATAAAGTTAGTATTTCTAAAATGCTAGACATAAATAATTTATTCTTTGGTTTTATAAAATAGTGTTAATGTTTTTAGAAAGGTGAAGGCATGACTCTCATATGATAATGAACACATGTCAAAGCTTTTTTATATCTTATTAATTAATGAGGGACCATGTAAGATATTACAATTGATTTAAAAGAATTCAAAGTACCACATTTTTAATCGAATAAAGAATGCTGAAATGAATTTACAAATGGTTACAAAACTGAACAATATCCACAGGATGATAGTTGTATTCCATGGGGCACAGTCTGCATTTCTATGGATCAGAATTATTTGCATTATTATCTGTTTTCCAGAAGTTAATTTCTGTCTCTACAATCTTTGACAATCTGTGATGCAGTTAAAGCAGTGCTTAGAGGGAGATTATAACACCAAACATTTATGTTAGGAAAATGTTTCAAATCAAAGGCAATAACCTAAACTTTTACCTTAAGATTAAAACTAGAAAGATAAGAGTAAATTAAACCCAAGGTAAGCAAAAAGGAGGTAATAAGAAAATCAATGAAACTAAAAGCTAGTTCTTGAGAAGATAAATAAAATAGATATGGATCATGAAAAAAGAAGACACACATTACCAATATCAGGAATAAAAGAGTATCACTGTAGATCCTTCAGTGTTATCAGTATAATAAGGAATATTGTAAACAAAAGAAACAAATGGATTGGGGAAATAGTGGTCGAAGGTACAAACTTTCAGTTAGAAGGTGAATAAGTTCTGGAGATCTGGTGCACAGCATTATGATTATGATTATCAGCACTGTATTATATACTTCAAAGTTGCTAAGGGACTAGATCTTAAATGCTCTCACTACAGAGTGAGAGTTACATGACGTGATGGAGGTGTTAGCTAATGCTATGGTGATAATCATACTGTGTTATGTAAACGTATCAAATCAATGGGTTGTACACCTTAAACGTATACAGTGTTATGTCATTTATATCTCAGTAAAAAATAAGTGATCCCTAAACAATTTTAAAAATACTATTGTCTTCACAGCTATTTGTTCCTCAACTCTAAGCTGTAGTTACCATGGTCTTCCTAAAATTCCTATATTAGATGATTATTTTCTTATCTTTAGAGTCCTTAGTCAAAAAAAGGAAGAAAAAAAACTAAACAGAGAGAGAGAGAGAGAGAGAGAGAGAGAGAGAGGGAGAGAGAGAGAGAGAGAGAGACTGTTCATGGGTAGGAAAACTAAATGTTTTTAAGGTGTCATTTCCTCCCAAATTGATCTAAAGATTCATTGTAATCCCAATCAGGGTTCTTCAGATATTTTTTAGGAGGTAGAATTGACAAGCTATTTTTAAAATTTATATGAAATGCAAAGGTCATAGAATAGCCAAAATTGGAGGATTCAGTGGTTTCACTAATACTGATTTCAAGATTTATTATAAAGCTACTATAATTAGCTTAGTCTGATAATGGCATAGATAGACATAGATCAGTGGAACAGAATGAGAAGTCCAGGAATAGATCCATACATGTATGTTCAATTAATTTTTTGACAAAGGTGCCACAGCATTTAAGTGAGGAAAAGGATAATCCTTTCATAAAATGATGTTGGAACAAATGAATAGCCATGTGTAAAATAATGAACCTTGACCCTTACCTCACACGATATACAAAAATTAACTGAGGGCCGGTCAAGTGGCGCATTGGTTAGGAGCTGGCTTGGGAGCGCCAACTCTGAGCATCAGGGCCCCAGCTCGGATCCCACATGAGGGCCAGTGACGCTGCACCCTCTACAGCTAAGATGGTGAACAACAGCTCAATCTGGAGCTGGGCTGCCTTGAGTCGCTGGCGACGGTGTAGGCTGCAGTGGGGCTGCAGTGGGCTGCCATAAGCTACCAGGAGTGGCTGGTAACCAGCGTGAGCTGCCAAGAGCCGTTGTGAGTCGCCATCCAGTGGCCGGCGACTGATCTGCCTCACCTGGGAAGAGCGCAATGATCACAATACCAACAGAGGCCAGTGAAGCAACATCCTCCACAACTATACTAAAGGACAAAAGGACAGCAACTTGTCTGTTCCCCTTCCCTGATTCCCCAGCGCTGTTTCCCTCTCCCAATTCCCCAATAAAACCTTAAAAAAATTAACTGGAAGTGGATCATAGACCTAAATGTAAGAGCTAAGAAGATAAAAATTTCTAGAAGAAAACATAAACTTTTAGTGACCCTGGTTTTGTCAAGCATTTCTTAAATAGGACAGAGAAATCATAAAGGGGGGGGGATCAATAAATTATACTCCCACAAAATAAAAAATTTTTGCTCTTCAAAAGACAGTTCCAGGAGCCGGCTAAGTGGCTTAGTTGGTTAAGAACGCGAGCTTTGAGCAACAGGGTCACCCATTCAATTCCCACAAGGGCCAGTGAGCTGCGCCCAAGCTGAGCTGCCAACAGGTGGAAGGATGGTTCAGTGGTCACAATTGCCAGTTGATCTCCCACCTGGGATAGTGGGCTATGCCCACCCGTAACTAAGATTGAACACGGCACCTTGAGCTGAGCAGCTGCAAGCTGCCCACGGGCTGCCAGATGGCGATTGGACTTGGAGCTGAGCTAGCTGCTCCCTTCACAACTAAAGATTGAAGGACAACAATTTGGCTGTTTCCCTTCCCCAATTCCCCAATAAAATCTTAAAAAAAAAAAGAAACGACAGTTCCAAAAATAAAAAGGCAAGCTACAGAAAAGGAGAAAGTAATTGCAGAGCATATATCCGACCAAAGATTTGAATATAGAATAAATGTAGAATTCTTATAATTCATTAATAAAAAGACAACCCAGTTTTAAAAATAAGCAAAAGATCTGAACCGGCACTTCACTGAAGAAGTTACACAGATGGCAAGTAAGCATATGAAAAATATTTAACACTACTAACCATGAGGGGAATGCAGATTAAAACCTCAATGATATACCATTGCACACTCACTGAAATGGCTAAAATTAAAAATATGAACACACCAAGTGTTGGCAAGGATGTGGAAGAACTAAAAACTCATATACAGCTGGTGGGAATATAAAATGATACAACAACTTTGTAAAACAATTTGGTAGTTTCTTTAGAAAGTAAACATGCGTCTGCCATACCATCTAGCCATTTTACTCCTAAGTATTTACTCAAGATAAACATGCGTCTACACAAATAAATATATGCAGGTGTTCATAGCAGCTTTATTTGTAATAGTCCAAAGCTGGGAACAACCCACACTGAGTGGATAATTGTCATATAGCCAGCCATACAATGGGATACCCTTCAGCAACAAAAAGGAGTGAGCTATTGATATATGCAGCAAAACAGATGAGTTTCAAAATAATTATCCCAAGTGAAAAAACACATATTGTGTGATTCCACTTATATAAAATCCTAGAAAATGGAGATTAATATATAGTGGCTGAAAGCAGGTAACTAGTTGCCTAGGGTACAGGGGGAGGAAAGGATGGATTACAGTGGGATATGAGGAAACTGGGGAGGCTGATGGCTTCACAGGTAACCTGCATCAAACTCATCGCACTACATTAAATGTGTAGTTTCTTTTATGTCAAGTATACTGTATAGATTTGATTTTAGAAAGTATTGTTTTAGTAGAAATCTAGGTTTGCTGTTAAGAGAAAATATTTACTCAAGTGATCTTTCCATTGTAAAAGGCTAATTTTTTATTACTTTATAACTAGAAGTATGTATTATCTTTGCTTTCACTCAAGGCCTTTCTTTGTTATCTTTTCCTCATTTATTGGGTTGTTGGAAAAGTCATGATGTTTTTTTTCTGTTTTTCGTTGCAAAAATGCATCATGACTTTTCCGACAACCCAATAAATTACCTCACTAAACCATTTAAGATTAAGGCTCTTGGAAGGAAGCTTTAGTCTTTGTAACATGGAAGTATTCGTACTAGCTTTTAATGGTGATGTGTGAAATGATAAGAGGAGAATGTTTGAACAAGAAAGAGAATTTTTATTTCTTTATCTTACCAGTGTGTTTTCCTTGTGTCTGAAGTATGGTGACTGGCAGCTCACTTGTGGCTTGAATTTGGTTGCTGCCCATGAGGAGCTTATAGTCTAAGTGTGAAAAGGCAAAGCAAAGTATAGTATATACAAGAGGTATTTCTAATGATTGTAGATGGGTGGCCCTTACAATTAGAAGTATTGTAGCTGTGGAAAGACATTTTAAGGAAGAAGTTAAGAGAAAGGAATAAAGAATATATGACATGCAAATTGTAAA